TGGTGGGTGGTCATCATGTTATGGCTGATCGGTGTGTATTTCAATGGTGTATATAGCTGTCTATATTAGCGCAGGCTCCTCTTCAAGAGAATAGGGACTCTGGCAGCCATAGTGGACGAGGAAGCCCATCACCCAATGCCGAGATCACATGGAGAACCATCCAAGTGACAAGCTGTGCCCCCGAGTATACTCCCCTACTAATATTACCTGTCGGACAGGAATGCACCTTCACCTTATCAGGGTCAATGAGCGCAAGGCACCTTATTACAGCTCATCAGTGACACACGTCAACAGCGACGTGATCTTCATCCGTTCGCTCACGTCACGGGGAATATTTCAACACACTTCTGGGCTGCTCAGAGCACAGTTATGTCCCCTGTTCCTCTCAATGCCTGATTATGTCCATACAATGAGGATTAGACATTTGAGAATGTCAGGTGGGTTGTGCCAACTGGGCGAGTTCTCAACAATGCCAGTGTGTGACCGACTGTGAAAGCCGCTGTCGCAACACGACTCGTCGCTGACTGTTGGCTTGGCTCTGTGTGAGTGAAGGGAAGTGCAATGTTAAGGAGGAACTCTGGCTGAAGGAGAACTGATCTGCTGCAAGCGAACAAGATTTGCTGTAACGGACAATGTCTATTAAATTGTTCTGCTGTCATTGCCGAGTAATCAGCAGTAAGAAACATGCATTTCTAGGATCTGCTATTTACAGTGAAAGGAATCTGCGGGGTGCGGGACTCTGAAAATGCTACTTGTCTGGCTTAAATGCTCATTCATGTTTAGAGGAACCAGGTACAGCAGATTTACTTACCTGATCCTCTGCTCCCACAGGCTCCACTGCAATGCAAGGCTGGTCCCAGCAACCTCTTCTTCCTCTATGCTCTGGCGAATGGAAACCCCTGACATAATCAGGACCGATGCAAGGCCAATAGGCCTGCACTGGAAGGGAGGATGTTGAGGAACAGTCTATTACTGGAGCGTAGGGGAGCCATCTTATCTGGAAGCTGGTAAGTAAACCTACCGCCTGGCATTATCATGTATTTAACCCTTGCATCATAGTCAGTGGTGTATTTAGGTTTTGTGCTGCCCTAGGCAACACAAATAAATCAGCTGCCCTCCCTACCAAGAGAACCTGACACCAACCTACACCACCCTCCAAAGGAGAGAGCGTGACACCAACCTACACCACCCTCCAAAGGTGAGAGCCTGACACCGACACCAACACCACCACCCCCAAAGGAGAGAGAGCCTACCACCGACCAACACCACCCCCAAAGGAGAGAGCCTGACACCGACCAACACACCACCCCCCCAAATGAGAGAGCCTGACACTGACCTACACCGCCCCCCAAAGGAGAGAGCCTGACACCGACCAACACCACCCCCAAAGGAGAGAGCCTGACACTGACCTACACCACCCCCCAAAAAGGAGAGAGCCTGACACCGACCAACACCACCCTCCAAAGGAGAGAGCCTGACACCGACCAACACCACCCTCCAAAGGAGAGAGCCTGACACGACCTACACCACCCTCCAAAGGGGAGAGTCTGACACCGACCTACACCACCCCCCAAAGGGAGAGTCTGACACCGACCTACACACCACCCCCCAAAGGGGAGAGTCTGACACCGACCAACACCACCCTCCAAAGGAGAGAGCCTGACACCGACCAACACCACCCTCCAAAGGAGAGAGCCTGACACCGACCAACACCACCCCTCCAAAGGAGAGAGTCTGACACCGATCTACATCACCCCCCCAAGGAGAGAGCCTGACACACACCGACCAACACCACCCCCCCCCCAAGGGAGAGAGCCTGACACCTGACGTTGGTTCAAATCCCAACCACGGCACCTCCTGCCTGGAATTTGCATGTTCTCCCTGTGCCTGCGTGTGTTTCCTCTGGGTACTCCGGTTTTCCTCCCACACTCCAAAGACATGCTGGTAGGTGAATTGGCTCCTGTCTAAATTGTCCCCTAGTATGTGTATGTATGAATGTGAGTTAGGGACCTTAGATTGTACGCCCCTTGAGGGTTAGGGACTGATGTGAATGTACAATATATATGTAAAGCGCTGTGTAAATTGATGGCGCTATATAAGTACCTGAAATAATGTATGCAGAAAATGTAACACAAGAACTACTTTAGAAATCACACTGCAGCAAATCGCACATGTTAAGACACTGACATTCATTAGATGCGATTTCAATTTGTGAATCCCACCAATGTGAAAGGGGCACTAAGTGGCTGTAAACCCTTCCATATACCCAGTGAAGTGACTGGCCTCAGGTGATACACAGAAGAAACAAATCCTCCAACATCAGTTGTACCTGTTTACCCTCAGCCCTCTCTTCTCCACAGCTAAGTGCTAAATGTATACAGCTTGCCTGAGAGTTCAGAAAAAAGTAGGCGGAGAGCTGAAGTTACACTCTGCAGAGCTCAGTGTGAGCTGATTGGAGGGAACAGACACACCCACAGCACACAGGAGCACAGCTGCGGTGCATAGGTGTGAACAGAGCCTTAAAGTGGATGTAATGCAGGTCACAGACGGGACGACCGTTCGGCCGATGTTACCACCAACGATTAAAAAAATTAGCCGACTAAATCATAAAGTTCACCCCATAACTTCTGTCCCTGCAGGTCACGGCTCATGCGCAGATTTTTTTATCGTTAAAACGATCGGCCGATTTTGCCATCATTGCCGGGAAAATCGGCCGATCGTCTAAATCAGCCGCGAATTTTCCAAAATGCCCAATAATCTCAAAGTGCAAAAAACCAGAAAAAACGGGCCAACCAATTAACCCACTAACAGTGCGAAAATTGGCCGATTTTCAAACTGTCTATGGCCGGCATAAACACACATTGAAGTGACTGGCCTTGAGTGATACACAGAGATGAAACAAATTTCCTACATAAGTTGTACCCGTTTATCTTCAGTCATCTCCAGGATGAAACAAATCCTCCTGCATAAGTTGTAGCTGTTTATCTTCAGTGTTCTCTTCTCTACATCCCTTCAAAGTGCTCAATTTATAAAAAAGCTTGTCTGGGTTTTTCCGAAAGCAGGGGGGCGGGGAGCTGAAGTTGCACTCTGCAGAGCTCAGTGAGGAGAGCTCTAAGAGCTGATTGGAGGGAAGGGCATACCCCCTTCCCACAGCACACAGAAACAGAGCAGAGGCTCTAGATCACAGGTTGTATGCATGAGGCCCCTCCCCTGTCACCATTTTTTCTCTTGGTGTGAGGAACAATCTTCAGCAGTGACTCGTGCTGACAGCTGAGGAACGAGGCAGCAGACAGAAATGACACTTAGTGCTCTGGACTGAGACAAGTACACACTATGGAGGGATATGCTTTGTTCATATTTCATGTCTGAGGTTTACAACTCCTCTAAAGCTTTGCAGCCCTTCGAGGAGCCCTCCGCCAGTTCTTCATTAAACTTCAAGAGTTTTCCAATCTTCGGAATGCCTTGTATAAATGTCACGGTTGTTTTAGAAGAGAACACTGTGACCTCTTCGCTTTTCACGAGAAACAAAAGAAAAAAGACAGAGCAAAAAAAAAAAATCACAGAAAATGAGGACTTTACCAAAAGACACGGGGCAAGAGGAGACAATGGGCAACACAATGATACACAGGGCTCAGTGATAACGCAGGGAGCAAACACAATGTGACACTGAGCTCAGCCGCTGTGAAAGGAGCAGACACAATGTGACACTGCCTTCTCAAACCCCATCACCGACTTTGTTTACAGCACACAGCCACCATGACATCAGCTGCAGTCATTTTATAGACCTCCAGCAAAATGCGTCCCTCAAGCGCTACTAAACCCCAAACCAAAAATGGAACATAATGCAGCTTACCAATCATTAGATGTGGTGGCTGCATTAGTTTTCTTTTTTTAGGCTTCCCCCCCTCTGGTTTCACCTGGTGATCTATCCAGGAACACCCCTCCTGTACTACCTCCTGTATTAAAGTGCCTCCACTCTGGATGAAGGAGCACAGGAGACACCTTTGGACAGCAGATTTGTCAGTCTGGGGGGAGGGGAGTGTTAAGAGGGACTAGCAGATTTAGATACACTAACAAAATGAAGCTGATCTCCAGCTCTCGCTTTATAAGCGGTTACAGCAAACAGTTTCTTTTTTTGGTAAAAAAAAGTCCAAAAAATGTCGGTTTGCAGCATTTTACTACATTTTGCCGTGTTTTCCAGCGTTAGAGCGTTTTTACAGCTAAAAAACTCCTCTAGAAACCCACTAGTCCTGGGTTTTTTTCCAGCCAAAAAACATTGATTACAGTCTCTATGTGTGCATGGACACACAGGATAACACGCTGGGGATGGACACGTAGGATAACATGCTAGGGATGGACCTGTAGGATAACATGCTGGGGATGGACACATAGGATAACACGCTGGGGATGGACACATAGGATAACACGCTGGGGATGGACACATAGGATAACACGCCGGGGATGGACACATAGGATAACACGCTGGGGATGGACACATAGGATAACACGCTGGGGATGGACACATAGGATAACACAGCTGGGGGATGGACACATAGGATAACACACGCTGGGGATGGACACATAGGATAACACGCTGGGGATGGACACATAGGATAACATGCCGGGGATGGACACATAGGATAACATGCATGCCGGGGATGGACACATAGGATAACATGCTGGGGATGGACACACATAGGATGCTGGGGATGGACACATAGGATGACATGCTGGGGATGGGCACATAGGATAACACGCTGGGGATGGACACATAGGATAACATGCCGGGGATGGACACATAGGATAACACGCCGGGGATGGACACATAGGATAACACGCTGGGGATGGACACATAGGATAACACGCCGGGGATGGACACATAGGATAACATGCCGGGGATGGACACATAGGATAACATGCTGGGGATGGACACATAGGATAACATGCCGGAGATGGACATGGACATAGGATAACATGCCGGGGATGGACACATAGGATAACATGCCGGGGATGGACACATAGGATAACATGCCGGGGATGGACACATAGGATAACATGCTGGGGATGGACACATAGGATAACACATGCCGGGGATGGACACGTAGGATAACACGCTGGGATGGACACATAGGATAACATGCTGGGGATGGACACGTAGGATAACATGCTGGGGATGGACACATAGGATAACACGCTGGGGATGGACACGTAGGATAACATGCTGGGGATGGACACACAGGATAACATGCCGGGGATGGACACATAGGGATAACATGCTGGGGATGGACACATAGGATAACACCATGCTGGGGATGGACACATAGGATAACATGCCGGGGATGGACACATAGGATAACATGCCGGGATGGACACATAGGATAACATGCCGGGAGATGGACACATAGGATAACATGCTGGGGATGGACACATAGGATAAACATGCTGGGGAGTTTACTGGCTGTAGAAAAAAATGTCAAAAGGCAAAAACAGCAGCCGCTCTAAAAACGTCAAAACATGTGTGCATGAGGACTACGGGGGCTGGTTAGGAGCTGCAAAACATTGTTCATCCGCCTGCTTTTACCCCCCCCCCCCCCCCCCAAACCACAAGTGTAAACCTTGCAACTGGAGGAGAAGAGAGGCTGAGCAAATTCTCTGTCCTGCCTCCAGCAGACTGATGACATCATGTCAGCTGAGACAAAGTCCCTGAGAGGAGCTCAAGGAAGGCTTTTCAGTAAGAGGTTCCCCTAGTGCAATGTTATACTGTAGTTGTATATTGGGACATGTCAGCAATACGCATAATTCTCATCTTTGCAAAGCATCCAGAAAGTGGATGGTGCTCCCCCCCCCCCCCCACGGATGATGCCTGAACAAATATGGTGCCGTCCCTCTAGAGAGAAAAGCAGATGTCAGGAGGAGTACTTAACATGCATAGACTTTAAATGGGAACATATATCAGCTGCTACATCCATGTGAATAGTGAGAAGTCATCATGACGTGAAGCTCTGAATAATGTATGCATGCCGATGTGGACCGTCCGGCATTCCTATGCTAACAGCATTCTGCAATTTATGGAAAACATAAATACAAGTGACAGTCATGCAGATGGTTATGCAAATTAGGAGCCCTGCAGCCAGATCCCAAAGCCCAGTCTACACTTCAACAATAAAAACTAGATTGTAAGCTCCCAGGATCAGAGCCCTCCTATCCCTCTTGTATTGTTGCTATATTGTCTCTCCGTTATATTGTAAAGTGCTGAGCAAACTGTTGGCGCTATATAAATCCTGTATAATGTATAATAATAATATATAAATCCTGTATAATAATAATAAATATATAAATCCTGTATAATAATAATATATAAATCCTGTATAATAATTATAATAATATATAAATCCTGTATAATAATAATAATAATAATAATAATATATAAATCCTGTATAATAATAATAATAATATATAAAAATCCTGTATAATAATAATATATAAATCCTGTATAATAATAATAATAATATATAAATCCTGTATAATAATAATATATAAATCCTGTATAATAATTATAATAATATATAAATCCTGTATAATAATAATATATAAATCCTGTATAATAATAATAATATATAAATCCTGTATAATAATAATAATAATATATAAATCCTGTATAATAATAATATATAAATCCTGTATAATAATAATAATAATATATAAATCCTGTATAATAATAATATATAAATCCTGTATAATAATTATAATAATATATAAATCCTGTATAATAATAATAATAATAATATATAAAATCCTGTATAATAATAATATATAAATCCTGTATAATAATAATAATAATATATAATAAATCCTGTATAATAATTATAATAATATATAAATCCTGTATAATAATAATAATAATAATATATAAATCCTGTATAATAATAATATATAAATCCTGTATAATAATAATATATAAATCCTGTATAATAATAATAATAATAATATATAAATCCTGTATAATAATAATATATATAATCCCTGTATAATAATAATAATATATAAAACCTGAATAATAATTATAATAAAGGGGGTTATTTACTAAAACTGGAGAGTGCAAAATCTGGTGCAGCTCTGCATAGAAACCAATCAGCATCCAGGTTTTATTGTCAAAGTTTAATTGAACACATTGAAGCTAGAAGCTGATTGGTTCACATGCACAGCTGCCCCGGATTCTGAGCGCTCCAGTTTTAGAAAATCTCCCCCTAAGTTTTTTTGAGTTAAATATACTGTATTTAGTCCTAATAGGTTCCTGAATCTTTGAAATATTTATTAATAGATGAACCTATGCTGAGCTTTCTGTAAGGGAACAGCCATCATTGTTACTGCAGGTACTCAGAGGTGGTCACATACGGTATAGCATCATAATACTCTACAGCAGTAATTCTCAACCACCAGACTGAGGCCTTCCTCCTCTCAGGCCTCCATCTAGCTGTAGATCCCATAATCTTCCATATTGCCACCCATGTTTTATGATGGCTTGCAGACCCCCTATGAGCCCTCAGTCCTTACAGAGTCATCCAGCCTAGCACAGTGCCCCCCCAGCCCCCCAAGTGGCCCCTGAGCTGCTGCAGAACCTCTGGTCCCTCATAGTGCACCCAACAGTGTCCCGTGATGCCCCCCACACTGCCCCTGGAAAAAAACTCCATGCTCATTTAGAGACCCTCAACCCCCCTCCAGAGGCCCCATTCCCCATAGTGCTCCCTCTGGAAACCTCAATATCTACAGGGCTCCAAGTCTCCTGCAAAATCCCCTAAACTCCTCCAGAAACCTTCATTCACCCATAGTGCCTCACAGCTCCCCCCACACTGCCCCTGGGAAAAAAAAAAACTCCTGGAGAGACCCTCAGTCCCCTCCAGAGGACCCATCACCCATAGTGGCCGCCCAGCTCTCCCTCTGGAAACCTCATCACCTACCGGGCTTCAAGTCTACTGCAAAGTCCCCTAAACCCCTCAAGAACCTTCATCTACCCATAGTGCCCCCCAGCACCCCCCCCCCCCCCACACTGCCCCTGGGAAAAAAAACTCCTGGAGAGACCCTCAGTCCTCTCCAGAGGACCCATCCCCTATAGCAGCCACCAGCTCCTTCTGGAAACCTCATCACCTACAGGGCTTCAAGTCTCCTGCAAAGTCCCCTAAACCCCCTCAAGAACCTTCATCCTCCCATAGTGCCCCCCCAGCCCCCCACACTGCCCCTGGAAAAAAAAACTCCTGGAGACCCTCAGCCCCCTCCAAAGATCCCATCCCCCATAGTGGCCGCCAACTCTCTCTGGAAACCTTATCACCTACAGGGCCCCAAGTCTCCTGCAAAGTCTCCTAAACCCCTCCAGAACCGTCATCCTCCCACAGTGCCCCCCACACTGCCCCTGGAAAACAAAACTCCTGGAGAGAGCCTTAGCTCCCTCCAAAGGCCCCATCCCCCATAGTGGCCCCCAGCTCCCTCTAGAAACCTCCATTCCCTACAGGGCCCCAAGTCTCCTGCAAAATCCCATAACCCCCCCCTCAAAACCTTCATCTCCCACAGAGACACCCAGCCCCATCCAGAGCCTTCCAAAGATTCAGTGCACATTATGTTGGGGCACTGAAGCTTTTGGAAGAATTTACCAGACTCCGAATACCTGAACTTGACCTGGTATCAGCTGCTTCCAATTCATTGTACAGCAGCACTTAGACTGAAAGAGGGAGGGTCAGGCCTGGATGTGTTATGCAAATGTGAAAAAAAAAAAAGAACATACTAATAGTAGGAGTAAACAGACTGACCAGAAGGATGACCAAATTAGTCTACTGCTACTGTTTCACTATCCAGTTGGGCAGGCTGGGGGCAGGAGGACACCACTGCATCTTTTAACTGTAAGTAGCATCCCCGACTATGCTGTGTAAATCTCAGGTCTGGATGGACGGAAATACAAATCCTTTAGCAGATAAAGCAGCCCCCTTATATGCATTTGATCTGTATATTTAACTGCTTGCCTGGAGTTCAGCTTTAATTTACGTCTAGAGTCCATTCAATGAGCAACTGTGCTTCTACTGCCAGTGAAAGCATTAAACAGATCAGGGCACACAGGCTTGTTTCCATTGCCGTACAAGATGTTTTGCAGCCTCTCGAGGGATTCTCGAGAGACCTGTGTCATCTCAGAACTTCTAAAAGACCTGGGTCTACTTCTACAAGACCTGTGTCATCCGGGACTTCTACAAGATCTGGGTCTACTCCTACAAGACCTGTGTCATCTTGGGATTTCTACAAGATCTGGGTCTACTTCTACAAGACCTGTGTCATCAGGGACTTCTACAAGATCTGGGTCTACTTCTACAAGACCCGTGTCATCTGGGATTTCTACAAGATCTGGGTCTACTTCGACAAGACCTGTGTCATCCGGGACTTCTACAAGATCTGGGTCTACTCCTACAAGACCTGTGTCATCCGGATTTCTACAAGATCTGGGTCTACTCCTACAAGACCTGTGTCATCTTGGGATTTCTACAAGATCTGGGTCTACTTCTACAAGACCTGTGTCATCCGGGATTTCTACAAGATCTGGGTCTACTTCTACAAGACCTGTGTCATCCGGGATTTCTACAAGATCTGGGTCTACTTCTACAAGACCTGTGTCATCCGGGATTTCTACAAGATCTGGATCTACTTCTACAAGACCTGTGTCATCCTGGGATCTCTACAAGATCTGGGTCTACTTCTACAAGACCTGTGTCATCTGGGATTTCTACAAGATCTGGGTCTACTTCTACAAGACCTGTGTCATCTCGGGATTTTCTACAAGATCTGGGTCTACTTCTACAAGACCCGTGTCATCTCAGCACTTCTAAAAGATCTGGATCTACTTCTACAAGACCTGTGTCACCTCGGGACTTCTACAAGATCTGGATCTACTTCTACAAGACCTGTGTCACCTTGGGACTTCTACAAGATCTGGATCTACTTCTACAAGACCTGTGTCATCTCAGGACTTCTACAAGATCTGGGTCTACTTCAACAAGACCTGTGTCATCCAGGACTTCTACAAGGCCTGGGTCTACTTCTACAAGACCTGTGTCATCTTGGGACTTCTAGAAGACCTGGTTCTAGTTCTACAAGACCTGTTTCATCTTGGGACACAAGATCTGCGTCTACTTCTACAAGACCTGTGTCATCTTGGGACTTCTACAAGACCTGAGTCTACTTCTACAGGACCCTTTGTAATCTCGGAACTTCTACAAGGCCTGTGTCTAATCTGCTGGTACCTCAGAAGAAGTTAAGTGGAGTCAAATATATCACAAAATCAATTAAATCTGGAATGAACGGCTGCTGCGAAACTACAAAGCC